ATATTGCATATAGTGCCGTGTTGTCACATGATTTGATCACATGATTTTCTATAGTTTTGATTGGTCAATAGGCCAGAGATATATAAGTTATATATCTCTGGCCAGAGATATTTAGAAAAACCCTTAAATATAAAACCTCTCCCAGAAATATATCCAAGCATCAAGGCAACAATAATATTAAAAGTGATAAATTTGGATATCTTTATAAGCAAATAAATAAGGAGAGTAATGCTAATAACAGTGATAATATTGATGAGAAAGGTTAATAAAACAATAATGTAAAACTGTATTTTTTCTGTAATATTGCTTCATGTAAAATAATAAATTGGTAATATTAATGCTGCTATCAACAAGTATATATTTTATATAAATTAAGTAGAAATTAGAAATTTAGAAAGATATATATATATTATAAAGTATTAATTAGTTTTGAAGACAAAATATATAGATATCTACAAAACTATATGGGGTGAAGTCAATAGAAAAGGGACAAATTTTTTTTAAGTAAAAGTTTTTTGATTTTAAGCTTAAATATCTTAGTAATTATCTTATCAAATTTAATAATTATTTTTTTATTTTAATTCATTATAATTTCAAAATTAAAATAAAAAATTTTGAGCAAATTTGGTTAATTAGTTGTTGAGATATTTTAATTTAAAAATTAAAAAAATTTACTAAAAATGATTTGTCTTTTTTTTATTGACTCCACCTCATATTAGTAAGATATATTATATAAATCTTTAGATGTTTCATAGATATGTCTTTTAAATTTGCAAATATTTTAGAAATATTTAAATATCATAAAGTATTAATTAGTTTCAAAGACAAAATATATAGATATCTATGAAATTATATTAGTAAGATATAGTGTTTCAAATTGTTAAAATTTTACCAACCGGTTAGTTGTCAACTATAGTTGGCAACTAACCGGTTATATATATCACATGATATTTTCAGATATTAGCCAATCAAATCCAAGAAATCATTCTGAATTATCCCAAATAAGCAGAATATCTCGGAATTATATTAATTGAATGATTAGTTGGTTAGTTGATTAAAAAATTTTCTAACCGGTTAGTTGGAAAGTTGTCAACTATTCGGTTTTCCAACTAACGATTTGGAACACTAGTAAGATATGTTGCTTAAATCTTTAGAAATTTATACCTTTTTCGTAGATATATCTTATAAACTTTGCAAATATTTTCAAAATATATAAATATTGTAAAGTATTAATTAGTTTCGAAAACAAAAATATATAGATATTTATGAAACTATATTAGTATTATATATTAAGATATGTCATTTAAATCTTCAAATATTTGACCATTTTTCAAAGATATATCTTATATATCTTAGAAATATTATATAAATATTGGCATATAAGATTTTTTTTTTTATTTAAACCGCGAAAAAGTGTATTTTATTTTATTTAGTTTATAATTACATAAATTAATTATTTACAATTAGAAAGAGTTTATATTTTTATAATTAGAAAACGAGTTAATCTCTTTTTGGATTTACTTTTATGGGTTCTATTCAAAACCTGAAAACTTTTTTGTAACCTAATCTTGGCCACCTTTTTAACAGTGAATTGATCTCCAGATTGATCACATATTTTTAATTGTGTAAGTTCCCAGGGCTAGCTGCTAGATGATAATATTGTACTTCTTAGTTTTTTACAGGCTGTTAAGTATGGTTGCCAGTCTTTTGGCCATCCTTTAAGCTTAACCAAAGATCTTGTTAATGCTTCTACTATTGATATATTTCTTTTGTCCTGTATTCTTTGTAAGATTAAGGTTCATTCAACCCTGGCCTAGAAGCTATCTGCTATAAGTAGCTTTATCCAGACAGAGCAAAGTCTGGCATCAAGAGTATTCTTAAGAACAGAAGCATTTAGTTCTCCTCTATTATAGTCTAGCTGGAAAGTTGAATAACATAGAAGTAATTTTGATTTATTCTTAACCCAGTTGTATATCAATATATTGATTTTGTCAAGTTGCTTTCTTTGGAGTGGAAGCAGGTATGCCAAGTACCAGATTTTGGAGATGAGAAGGGCTTTAGATAATAAAATTTTTTCTTTGAAGGATAGGTTTCTACCAGAGATCTTCTGTATTTTCTGCTTAATACTTTTGGTTAAGTTTTCCCATATTTGTTTTTTGGGAGTACCTTTATAATCTATTTCATAACCCAGAATTTTGAGTGAAGTATTGTCATCTGCTATTTTAAAAAGATTTTGATTGAGTAAGCACATTGTTTTAGCTGTGTTAGTAAGAGGTACCAAAATTGATTTCTTTTGATTAATCTTTGCATTTGAGGCTAGTTCATATTTTTGCAGAATTGTTGTAAGTTTTTCCCAATCTGAAGAAGATCCTATTCCTACTGTCAAGTTATCAGCATATGCTGTGACTTTAAAGTAGTAGTCTGCTGCTTTTATTCTATTTAACTCTTCTTGAATTTTAAAAATAAGTGGATTTAGAGCTAGAATATATAACAGAGGTGAGAGCGGGTTTCCCTGTCTAACTCCCCTTTCTACTCGGATTGGTTCTGATATGAGATTGAAATCTGCGGTATGTGCAGTTTGAAGGTGAAATAAGCTCTTGAAAATATTAATGAACTTGGTGTCAAAATTCATCCTTTCTAATACTAGAAGAATAAAATCGTAACTTATCCGATTAAAGGCCTTTTGCTGATCAAGCAGCAGCAACCAGTGTGATGCTGACTAGTCTTTTTGGTTTTTCATAATAGTAATAATGTCTAATACTGCGTCTGTGATTGATCTTCCCTCTATATATGCCTGTTGTGATGGACCAATAATTGATTTGCAGATGATATTAATTCTATTGGCCAGGATTTTCATAAATATTTTAACATCATAGTTAGTAAGTGAAATTGGGTGCCAGTTGTCTATCTGATTTTTTCAGAATCAGAGTAATGATGCTCTTGGTCCATGATCTGGGTGTCAGACTATTTTCTAGCTGATAATTGAATAGACCTGTAAGTATTGGGACTATTTCTTCTTTAATTCCCTTATAGAACTTATATGTAAGGCTATCAGAACCTGGAAACTTGTTATTTAGAAGCTGGTTTAAAACCTCATTAACTTCCTCTTTAGAAATTAAACCTACTAGCATTCTGTTTTGACTCTCTGAGACTTGTGCTAAGCCTTGAGTAAAGAAATTTGCTGCAGCTGTGCAGTTGTTTTCTGCTTTGTAGATATCTTGATAGATATTTTTCATATATTGTAACTTGTTAGCCGGATTGTTTATTTAACTGTGTTTAGAGATTTGAATTTTGTCGCTTGCTGAAGTATTACTCCTGGCCTTGTAACGTAAATAGAAGAATTTTGTAGATTTTTCTCTTTCTTCGATCCACTTCACATTTGATCTAGTCTGCCATTTGTCAGAAAGGGTTTGAAGTTCTTCTTGTAGCTGCATGTTAATATGTTCTCTTAAAGCTAGGAAATGCTCTGAGTTTTCTATACTAGATGCCTTATTGTTAATTTTGGTTAATCTTTTTTGCAGCTTCTGAATCTTTTTTTCTGATAAAGGTTGCGGTCTAAAGGCTCTTATTATGGATTATATCTTACATTTATGTAGATCCCACTTTGAGAAGTTTGTAATACTTTGTACCTCTTCAATTACTTCTGCTCTGAGTAGTTAATTTTGCTAGCTGTTTTTATCAAATCTCCATTGTTTTGCCTTAGGTTTCTCTGTATTCAACTGCAGTTCATATTCTACTAGCAAGTAATTAGAATTACCAAACTGAGTTGTAGTCTTCTTGCAGAGATGCCCATGATTTGCATCAATGAAAATATAATTCAATCTTGTAGCTATTACATGGCCTCCTTATATATTCTAATGATAAGTTATAAAAGGCTTTGTGCAGACTATAACTGCTATGGTATCAATATACTCTAATGTTAAATTTGAAAGTAATTCTCTTGTAAGATCACTTGTTGGTGAAGACTGACTTATTCTATTTTCCTGTGGGTTAAGGTTTGTATTGAAGTCTCTTGCAAGAATAATTATGTATCCTTTATCTATCTCCGGAGACCAACTATTAAAGAAGTTAACTCTTTCTGCTACACTTGGAGGTGTATATACGTTTATAAAACGGAACTTTTGGTGTCCGTAAATAATGCTTGCTTTGGTTATATGGTTATTATGTAATTTATTTGTGTTGGATAAAGTGATGTTCGGATTCCTAGCTAAGATTGTAGTTTTAGAGGACCAGTATGAACTGTATCTCTATTGCTGCTGTAAAAAGTTTCTTGTACTAATATTTTCTAAATTAGTTTTTTAGAGCATAATTAAATCTAAGTAATATGATTTCAATAATGTAAGTGTTCTATGTGCTTTTTCTAAATTGTTTAATCCTTTAATATTTAAAGTTGTGATTTTTAGTTTGTTAATTATAAGATAAATTAGAGTTGGTGTGTGTATACTAAAAGCACTACTTAAGGTCTGTTTGGCTTAGAGCCAGGGTATAGCCTAGTGTTCCAAATCATTAGTTGGAAAACCAAATAGTTGACAACTTTCCAACTAACCGGTTAGAAAATTTTTTAATCAACTAACCAACTAATT